AATCCAAGTGCTTTCTTAGTTTAGACACATATCCATCCTTGTCCCTGGTGCCTGCCATAGAACATGTAAGTTTCCTGCCCCTGTGTACTTTAGGACTGCCCCATGCCATGTCAATCTCCCTGACGCTTCCTGACAGCTCAGGAGAGTCTAGGGCAATTTCTCTGTCAATAATGACTCTAGGAATTTTAGCTTTCTTCCACTGTTTTATCTGCCTCATTACCTTCTGAATGATGTTATTTTGTGCAGTCACTATGCCTTTCAGCAATTCTTGATGAGCTGGAAATCCCATAGTTTAGGAAGTCTCAGTTCTAAGCCAGCATTTCACACACGCTCTCCCCTGTTGATTTCCCACTGGAAGCTGCAGCCTGGGTAAATATTATTATTATTATTAGAAACTGCAGTCTGGTTCAGATGTAACAGGAAACCATAGTTTCTTGCTAAGAAAATGCAACTTGAGCTCAAATGCACTTCCTTTCTCACCTCTCTCCATCCCCTTTTACGCATGAGGGGAATAAGTACAGTGGTACCTCCTTGAGCTTGTTTGCAGGTTCTACTTTTTTTTGTATGCTGGTTTTTGTGATTTGTGTATTGTTATTTTTCGATATTTTTCATGTTGTTGTTGTGTGGAAAATACTAATAAAATTTATTATATATATAAAAAATAAGTGGTACCTCGGGTTAAGAACTTAATTCATTCTGGAGGTCCCTTCTTAACCTGAAATTGTTCTTAACCTGAGGTACCACTTTAGCTAATGGGGCCTCTCACTGCCACCGCACCACCACCACACAATTTCTGTTCTCATCCTGAAGCAAAATTCTTAACCCAAGGTACTATTTCTGGGTTAGCGGAGTCTGTAACCTGAAGCGTCTGTAACCTGAAGCATCTGTAACCCTAGGTACCACTGTATTCCATTTTCAGTTTGCAACAAACCAATTTCTCATCTTGTTGACATATGAAAAACTTATTTTCAGGCCACAATGATTAATAACAAACCCACTTTGTTAGCCACCTGTGGTTTTAACAAACTACTGTTTCCTGGATTACCCACCACTTTGGGTGTAATAGGAAGCTGTGGTTTGTTCCAAACCACAAATTTAACTTCCTCCCTGTGAATGTGAAGGTGGAAAAAAGGGAACAAAAAAGTACAGAAATCCAAGGCTCATTGCAGGACTTTTTCTGTCAGGGAACTGCCATCAGTGCCGGAGGGAGAGAGCAAAAGCCAGAGGGATTCCAGAGAGCGTCCAGGGATTGGGAGAAGCAGCCCATCTTCTGGGGAAGAGAATCAGCGTAGCACCAGTGGAGAAGGGGGGCAGATGGGGGAAGCGGCGAGGTGGACCCATGACTCCTTGCCTGGGACCAGCGGGGAGAGTAGGGGTCCTCCGTTGCCCACGCCCTCCTTGCGCAGAAGGCTTTCACGCAGAGAGAGTAGGAGGAGACTAGGCGTCAAAGAGCTTCTTTGCTGGAAGAAGTTTAAGAAACGCCCACTGACGGATTCTGCCAGCAATTGAGTCAGCCACGGGTGAGTGGCTGTCCGGACAGAAAAGGTTCACTTAGGCAACCCAGCCAGGTGTTTGCACCCAGCCGGGGAGATAAGCACAGGCTTACGCACGAGTAACCCCTAGAAGCATTACATTTTCATAATAGGAAAATAGGGTTTCCCATTACGCCTGAGCTGTGCCTATTTGTGATTGAATGTCATGTATAGTTTTAGCCTCAGTTGCACAGTTCTGTGCTTCCAGTGGTTCACTTCCAACAGCTACATTATGAATAACTCCACTGAAGTTTTCTAGCATGGCATTTATTTCCATACTTTAGATAAAGTAAATTTAACATTAGTCTTTTCAGATTCAATGACTGTGAATAAAATCAAAATTTTCTTTCCCCGTGCCCCTTTCGAACTCTAATTAAATTTTCCTTTCTCCCACGTTCTGCTCATTTTCTTCCTCTAGAAAGATACATTTTCTTGTGTCTTCTGAAAATTAAGGTCATCTTTCTTGTTTTAATATTGTGCTTTTCATTTTCTTTCAATTTGTTGTCTGAATAAACACCATCAAGCCAGTGGTGATGATATATGTTGATTTTGAAAACTCAGTCGATTCTTCCCCACCCACACCATCATAGTCTGAAGTTACATTTCTAAAACTTTGCATCTTGGTTTGAAGATGCAAGGAAGGTTGTAGGGAGAGTGCAGTGCAGTGCCTGGAGAAGAGGTGGACTTCAAGAGGACCACTGAACCAGGAAAAGATGGGTCATGTTTTTATATATATTATTAATATTTAAGTTATGCAAAAAAAGAAAAAGAAAAAAGAAAGAAAGGTCCTTGGGTAGTGCTGAAACCAAGCTGAATGGGGTAACTGTGCCCCTGAAGGACCAGGTGCGCAGCCTGGGAGTCATTTTGGACTCACAGCTGTCCATGGAGGTGCAGGTTAATTCTGTGTCCAGGGCGGCTGTCTACCAGCTCCACCTGGTACGCAGACTGAGACCCTACCTGCCCGCGGACTGTCTCGCCAGAGTGGTGCATGCTCTAGTTATCTCCCGCTTGGACTACTGCAATGCACTCTACATGGGGCTACCTTTGAAGGTGACCCGGAAACTGCAATTAATCCAGAATGCAGCAGCTAGACTGGTGACTGGGAATGGCCGCCGGGACCACATAACACTGGTCCTGAGAGATCTGCATTGGCTCCCAGTACGTTTCCGAGCACAATTCAAAGTGTTGGTGTTGACCTTTAAAGCCCTAAACGGCCTCGGTCCTGTATACCTGAAGGAGTGTCTCCACCCCCATCGTTCAGCCCGGACACTGAGATCCAGCGCAGAGGGCCTTCGGGCGGTTCCCTCATTGCGAGAAGTGAGGTTACAGGGAACAAGACAGAGGGCCTTCTCGGTAGTGGCACTCGCCCTGTGGAACACCCTCCCATCAGATGTGAAGGAAATAGGCAGCTATCTTCTCTTTAAAAGACATCTGAAGGTAGCCCTGTTTAGGGAAGTTTTTAATATTTAACGCTGTATTGTTTTTAACACTTGATTCGAAGCCGCCCAGAATGGCTGGGGAAACTCAGCCAGATGGGTGGGGTATAAATAAATCATCATCATCATCATCATCATCATCATCATCATCTATGTGGTTGCATGAGTTGCCACAAAGAGTGCACAGGTGTCCATTCTAGAAAGACAGAACGACCCATGTATAGATTTACTGCAAGTTATGGAGCCTTTGGCTCTCTTAATTCAGGTGAACTACAACTCCCATAATCTCTGCCCACGCTTCCTGGGGCTGACAGGAGTTGTAGTTTAGCAACATATGGAGGGCCAAAGGCTCCCCAGCCTTGATCTAGTGTAATCAAATGAATATTTTTTTTCCACTTGCACATCTTGTAGGATGCATTTTGAGGACAATTCTTCTTCTTTGGCGATCACTTATAGCTGAGTGAGATTGTCTTCCATGAACACGGTCTAAACAGTGAGTCCATAAGTGACTGTGGAGGCCAATTCTAGATCCACACATCCTTCCACAGTGGGGACATAGGTTTCCAGGCAGGAGTTGATCATGGAGTGCTCGCAGGCTAAATGTTACCTAGAGGGGGAAAGTTCATACCAGCGTTTGTCCATTAGTATGCATATTCCAGTGTCTTGATCTGCAAATGCCGTTCTAATCCTTGTGCTTTTGCACATCTGGAACGTTTATAGACCACTTGCAAACCATACGTTCTCAGAATGGTTTTCATGATAAAACCAGGTGACAATTTAAAGCAGCCTGAAATGAAACCCTTTTAAATTCAGGATCGAGCAGAAGGTTGGAGAATGATCCACTGACCTACCATGAGGTCAACAAAGTAGATCGACAAGAGTTTCTGATTCCCAATTGGTTGCAGCAGCGAAAGGGATTCTGCCATCTATCCTAGCAGGTCATCGTAGTGAGTGCATGAGCCCCTATGAGCCATGTCCTGAGCCACTATTTCACATGTGGGTCCACCCCCATTTCAGCGATTATTTTACATCTGCCTTCATCTGGTGGATCTCAGAACTCCATAAAAAAAAGACCCAAGGCATATTCTACAAGTCCAAAGTCTGTCTACTGCCTCACTACGGTTTATCTCCTCGTTTCTCCCTTGAACAATGATGTTCTCTGAGTCTTGTAGGCTTCACTGGCCAGATGGTATCAATGCCCTTTGGCTTTCAGAACTCTCAGTGATGGAGGCTGTTGGAAATTTGGGGTGTGTGTGTGTGAGTGAGTGAGAGAGAGAGAGAGAGAGAGAGGTGTCAAAAATCCTCTCCCCAGTCCTCCTGCTACCACTCTGCTAATTCCAGCAGTGACCACAGGGGATTTGCCCCTCCCCTGCTCCAGAAGTATGTTTCCAAAGTACCAGGTCTGGGCAACACAAGATGCATGCTCTTAAGCTCCATTATTTAGTTGTTGCTTTAGGCGTTTTCACACCTGAAGTGAAAAGACAAATTGGCACGCCATATTTAAGTGCACACAGCAGAAACAGAAGGCAGGGAAATCACAAACACAAACACTCCTTGGCTTGGAATCTACCACGGCAGGTGACTGTTTTGAAGTGCATTGCAATAAATCTGGTCTGGCTGCTTTTACAGTGTCTGAACTGAACTATAAAGTGGTGCTAGTGAAAACCTCCACGTTTGAATGGGCCAAGTGCAGTTGCCTGTGTGAATTCAGTCCTCCTCTGTTTGCTACTTATGATTAGAAGCTTATTTTCACGCTCTGAGGAGAGGTGCATAAGAACCTTAACATGTTCTTCAAGGTGCCGGATTTGTACCTTTTGAATTTGTCTCGTGTGCTTCTCCTTAACGACAATGCAGAAGGATAAATATTTTAATAATCCTATTACTTGGTGCAGAAGGAGGTCAATGCTAGCTACTGAAGTGTTATTTTAAACTGTGCCAGTGGGCGACTGCAGCATCTGCATATAAGCTTGCCAGGGAAGAGAACTGCTTTGATGCTCATCAAATGGGGAACAGAAAAATGGAATTTCTTAAAACACACACACATACACGCACACCAAATATCATTTTAAACATAATGTAAGTTCATAATTGTGTGTGTGTGTGTGTGTGTGTGTGTGTGTGTTTTAAGCAAAATATTTGAAGGGGCTGGGCCCCCACAAAGTTGATGGGCATTCCCACTCAAATGGTGTGTGCGCACTGCACCTTTTTTTTAATGCTTTATTGAAATAAAAAAGAAATAGCAAACAAAAGTTCATCCAAAAAAGTAAAAACAGTAATATATGTTACATCAGATCACGATAATTTTTTCTTACGTCTATAATGACTTCCCGTCACTCCATCATGCCTCCACCACTTATTTCGTCTAATACACTATTCATTTTCCTTTGTTTATTTTCATTAATGACTTATTATCCTATAAGTTGCCATGATATCACATAAATCATTCAAGGCCTGCCGATGACATCATGTTACCACAATGTTCCTTAAGGTATTTTTTTATACATGTCCCATTGTCTAATAAAAGTTTGATCACTATGACCTCTCAGTTTCCCAGTCATTTTTGCCAACTCAGCGTATTCTAAGAGTTTGCTTTGCCATTCCAGTTTGGTCAGGATTCCCCCCCCCCCTTTTCCAATTTGTAGCAATTAGTACTCTTGCGGCTACCGTGGCATACAGGAATATATCCCTCGCTTTTTTAGGTATGTCTGTTCCTAATATTCTCTGGGGTTGTTTTTTTAAAGGAGATCTTAAACATTCTTTTGAGCTCGTTATAGACTACATCCCAAAATTTCGTTACTTTCTTACACGTCTGCCACTGTGTGTGCACTGCATCATGTGATCAATTACCTAGGGCGGGGCTTCCCTCCACTGAATGAAGTCTTATCTGAAGTTCACACCTTAAAGTCCTTGCAGTTGGGTTGTTCTGAAGTTTATGATCTCATCTCTTCTAGCACGTGCCTGTACTTTAGTCCAATTAAGCTCTAATTAACAGGAGAACCTCTGCTTCTTAATGGCAGCATTGGAGAGTTTTCGGCCTTTGCACTCAACGCCTCCATGCCGGAGCAAGAGCCAGGTACTGAAGTGAACTGTGAGTGAAACCCATTCCCCCTATCCCTGGGGAAAATTTGCAAGGATGAATACCCTCAATCATGCTTGTTTTTCCTTCACCAATGATCTCCCACTGTTGGAGCTGCCTCCATTAAGGCAGAGTGGAACCAGAAGCCTTGTGGCAACAATAATTAGTCCTTTGTATGCCCATCAGCTGGAAATAGGAACTGAGCACCTGCTTTATGCTGAATCAGACCATTGGTCCATCTGTCTCAGTATTGTCTACAATGATTGGCAGCTGCCCCCCAGGGTTTCACAGGAAGGAGCATTTGCCAATTTCAATGCCAAGGATTGAACTTGGGTTTCTTTAGCATGGAAAAGCATGCCTCTAGCACAGAGCTGCAAATTACTTGCCTATCCAATAGCGAGGCATTATTCTTCAATATTCTCCCTCATACTTTAACTCAATGTAAGTCTTAAGGCCAAACAACAAACTCCTACACAGTTTCAGGGGAATATGTCTTCAAGGGCATGAAATAAAGTGTGTTTTAAAGGCCTACACAAATGGTCTTTTCTTAGATTTATTTCGACATATTGATCTCCCCAAGTTAGAAACCTTTTCTCTGAAAGTATTAACAACAGAGTTGTGATCCTTAAAGTTTTATGTCTGTAACCGTAATCAAGCATCCACTCAGGCTGAGTCTGAATTCAAGAACCAGAAGCAGCCCGTTCCTTAAGCTTGCTTTTCCTCTTAAATGTGAAGAAAAACATGGGAGGACGTGTTCTCCACAGTCTAATGAAATGCACTTTGGAGGCACCAGCCCTATTTGGCTGTTCAAGCAGCATGTGGAATTGGAAGTACAGGGGGTTGGGTGTACAGGATCCACTGCCATCATCCCCACTGGTTTTCAACCAGTGTGCCGTGGCACCCTGGGGTGCCATGGGCAACACTGGCCTCTGTCCCTCTTTCCTTCCCTCCCTTCCTCTGATGCCTCTTGCATCTCTGCCTCCCAAAGGCTTGCACAACTGTTTGTTACAGCACTGGCTACAAGCTCTCCAGGCAAATGGTGCCTCTGGGGCTGGCCAGGGGGTGCTACCCTGGCCACTGTGGGAAGACAGCTATCTTTGGGGCGGGGGGGGGGGCAGCACAGAGACCAGGGGCTGCAGCTGGACTGAGGACTCCCTAGGAGATGAGAGAGGAGAGGAGGCTGAGGGAACACTCCACAAGGGAAGGTGTTTGAAAAAGGGTGAGAGGCTGCCAGCTCTGCAGACAAGGGGTGATCTAACTGGGCCCATCACCTCCTGGCAAATAGAAGGGGAAGAAATGGAGGCAGTGAGAGATTTTACTTTCTTGGGCTCCATGATCACTGCAGATGGTGACAGCAGTCACGAAATTAAAATACGGCTGCTTCTTGGGAGAAAAATAATGACAAACGTAGACAGCATATTAAAAAAGCAGAGACATCACCTTGCCAACAAAGGTCCGTATTGTTAAAGCTATGGTTTTCCCAGTAGTGATGTTTGGAAGTAAGAGCTGGACCATAAAGAAGGCTGATCGCCGAAGAATTGATCCTTTTGAATTATGGTGCTGGAGGAGACTCTTGAGAGTCTCATGGACTGCAAGAAGATGAAACGTATCCATTCTTAAGGAAATCAGCCCTGAGTGCTCACTGGAAGGACAGATCGTGAAGCTGAGGCTCCAATATTTGGCCACCTCATGAGAGGAGAAGACTCCCTGGAAAATACCCTGATTTTGGGAAAGATGGAGGGCACAAGGAGAAGGGGACGACAGAGGACGAGATGGTTGGATAGTGTTCACGAAGCTACCAGCATGAGTTTGACCATACTGCAGGAGGCAGTGGAAGACAGGAGTGCCCGGCGTGCTCTGGTCCACGGAGTCACGAAGAGTCAGACACGACTAAACAACTAAACAACAACAACTAGGCTCCTGAGCCCCCACAGGGGTGCCACAGAAATAATGTAGTTGGTCAAGGGAGCCGTGGACCCAAAAAGGTTAAAAAACCTCTGCACTACCCTATGCTTCCTGGCAAGGCCAGCTTTCCAGTTGCACAGAGGTTGCTAGTCCCCTTTAGCTCAATGTAGTTAGAAGCCCCTTTCTGACCTTTGTGTCTCATGAGTGGATGTTGGGGGGCAGGTCTTGCATGTGCAATCCCACTGCCCTCTTTCCACATTCACTTTGAGCACCTATGTGTCAGATCTATGCAAGTGTTGATCGTGCCTTTGGCCACTGCTGAGCCAAGTGCTGGCTAATATGACTTGTTTTGGCATTGGATTATAAGATGGGGGGGGGTGGCGCCCTCTCCAGATGCTGGGCTATAAAGGCATGGAAACTTTTCATGTTGTGGCAAGGGTTAAAAGGAATGACGGCCAGGATGAAATAGCACCACCCTTTAGTTCTGGTTTTGTTAGAGAAGCCTGGAACAGATGGCAGGTTTGAATAGGGAATGTTACATTCCACAAGAAAATAAATTTTACCTCAGGCAGACAAAGCACCGCTTGGTAGCTGCTTGCCATTCTGATTAGCATTACACAAGATGTGTAAATGTGGTGTTTAAATACAATGGGCTAATTTTAATAGGGTCTTAAAAATGCATTTATTCATTTCAGGTGTTGCAATGGTATAAAGAGGGTTGTGCTGGCACTGTTACTTTAACAGACTAAGGTGCTTTAAAGCATCTCTGGAGTCCTGTTTGAAATGCAGATTTCAGGTGAATTCTTTCAGCTCTTAGAGGTACTTTAAATGCTAGAAAGAGAGGGTTTCATTTAAACTGTTTGCATGTGCACGCCAGAGCGAGCGGATAACAAAAATTTACAAAACATATACAAAATGAGAATAATAAAAAACAGCTGGAGACAGAATGTACTCTTTTAACATGTAATTTTCATTGTTAATAATACTATACTGGGTTTTTTGTATCCCTTTCTAGAGAGATGTGTGCTTGCCTTATGTGAGGACTGCAGTGGGTTCTCTCCTGAGGGAAGAGGTGAAAATCCCGTTTGCATGTTATCGCCCCATACCTTCCAATATTTCTCTGATGAAAATAGGGACGTCCCATTCCACAATGATAATTTTACTATTGATATCCTACACATCTTACTGGGTTGCCCCAGCCACTCTGGGCAGCTTCCAACATATATTAAAATGTAATAAAACATTAAACATTAAAAAAAAACCCTTCACTGTACAGAAGAAGAAGAGTTTGGGTTTGATATCCCACTTTATCACTACCCGAAGGAGTCTCAAAGCAGCTGACAATCTCCTTTCCCTTCCTCCCCCACAACAAACACTCTGTGCGGTGAGTGGGGCTGAGAGACTTCACAGAAGTGTGACTGGCCCAAGGTCACCCAGCAGCTGCATGTGGAGGAGTGGGGAAGCGAACCCGGTTCACCAGATTACTAGTCCACTGCTCTTAACCACCACACCACACTGGCTCTCTACAAGATTGCCTTCAGACGGTTCAGGGATTGGATAACTCCACACCCTGCAACATTTCTCCAGTGAAAATAGGGACATCCCAAGGAAAAGTGGGACATTCCAGGATTAAATCAGAAACCAGGAAGGCTTCTCTAAATCAGGGGCATCCATGGAAAATAGGGTTTGCCTCGTTCCAGTATACCTGAAGGAGCCTCTCCACCCCCCATCACTCAGCCTGGACACTGAGGTCCAGCGCCAAGGGCCTTCTGGTGGTTCCCTCACCGTGAAAAGTGAGGTTACAAGGAACCAGGCAGAGGGCCTTCTCGGTAGTGGTGCCCCCTCCCATCAGATGTCAAAAGAAATAAACAACTATCTGACTTTTAGAAGACATCTGAAGACAAGTCTTGTTTAGGGAAGTTTTTAATGTTTGATGCTTTATTGTGTTTTTAATATTCTGTTGGGAGCTGCCCAGAATGGTTGGGGAAACACAGCCAGATGGGCAGGTATAAATAAATAAATAGGGACATTTGGAGGGTCTGTCACCCAGAGCCTAATCAATATAAAACACAACCCATCTGCTCTACCTCTTTCAGTGCTTGAGGGTAAGAGACAAAATGTTCCAGGCCTC